CTTTAGGAAGTGTCAATTCTTGAGTGAAATTTTCTTGTGTCATCATCAGGACTCATTTGAAGGAATTGTTGATTGATAAACAAAGTGGTTGTATGATAGAGAGATAACAGAAGACATTTGCCCTATATAATAAAGGGTGTACAACATGACTTGATATACAATTCAGGGTAAAGGTTGTCTTAACACGTTCTACAACACTACTTATTAATTGAACCTTCATGCAACAAGTGACAATATCTACTGATTAGTCCAAACTCCAATCAGAACAAATGTTAACAAAAATCCTATCTTCCCTTAAATCAGGTATCCATCATTCAATTTCAGAAATAAGTCAAAATAACACACAATGAAGCCAAAGTACTGAGATAACATGAAGGTTTGAAATGTAGGTCTGCCACAATAGTTGCATGCTTGCCATTTCACCATAACAAGACATTGCATAATTAATCTTTAAAAACTTGTAAAATGCAAAACAACATTTCAAAATTCCATGCAACAACAAAACAGTAAAGATTACAGATTTTGTGAATAGTTTAAGATGAGCATTATATTAAAACCATTGTTAACGTTCAAATGTAAGCTTCACACAAATGATCCTTACTCTGGTATATACCTGGTACCTGAAACACGTTCACTACTACCGGGAGTAAAAGGTGAAAGTACCAAGGTGAGCTCACTTAATGGCCCTAGGTGTTCTGTTTTCATGCATGCTTGTAAACGTGATCAGGGTTAACAAGAACACGTTGTCAATGAAATCCCTAACTTGGTAAACAAGTCAGGAGGAGATGCTTGGTATGTAGCATACACGTTCCTCACCATTAGGGATTGTACAGAGGGCATCAAAGTGTAAAATGCATGTCAAATTCAGCATCAGCAACCTGCATTCAATAGAGCAACCCTTGCTGAATCATTGGTGCAATTGTAGTACTTACAAATACCTACATATGGAAGAAACAATTCTTCTTAACCAGATATACGGAGCAGACCATTTCATCACAATCAAACACTGATGCATAAAATATAGGCAAAATTCAGCACCTGAAACATGCAATCAGTAGAGAAATGCTATCTGCATCACTAATGTAAGTATAATCAATGTAGCATTT